ACATTCCCATGCAGGCCAGATCACCTCGTTGCTTGGCAAATATGTAAATTCTTTGTTTCTGTTTCCTCATGTCAGAACGAGCTTTCATTGACATTAAATCGTTGCCTCATCATTGTTGCCATAGCAAAACAGGGTTTATCTTTATCTTCCTGCTGTGGCAACAACATTTTCTTTTTATTCATCATTGCCACAAAGATGATGAGCAAGAAAATTATAATTTTATTTAACTGATCATTTTTGTCACAAATGTGGAATAAAAGATTTAACATAGTTATTTACTATTTGCTACCTCTTTACCTGGCGACAAAAGCCATTTGCCCCTTGTGTGACAGCAAAACACAGATGCTGATGGTGACGCCAGCAAACGCCGTGACTCGTTTAGGAAGGTGGGCGTGAGGATGGGTTATACAGAATAAATGTTACTAGGCTTTTAACAGCCATATGGTGTAGCGGAAATATTGCTGCTAAGAATTCACGTGACATTCACTGAGGCTAGAGTTCAATCCTTGTGCATCCACTTATTTTTTTATATATTATAATAACAACAACAAATATTGGAATTCATTGGAATCTGTTGGAATTTGACTGGAATATACTTTCCATTGGAATTCCATGGAATCTGGTTGGAATTCCAATGGATTCCGATGGAAACTGTTCTGGGAGGCTCCCAGATTCCAACCATTTCCACTGGATTCCATTGGATTCCATTGGAATTTCCACAGAATTGGAAACCAGAATGGCTGAGGCTCCAGCCAACTGGTTTCCATTGGAATTCCATGGAATTCCGACATTCCGCTTGGAATCCGCCAGAACTCATGGGGGATGGTAAAGACCTCCACGGGTTATCCTCTGGGGGCTACCACCGTCCTTCTGTGCTCTCATTCAATGATCTGGACGTGCAGGTCAGGACTTTACAGTGGCAGCTGAAGCGATTTTGGCTGTTACTCCTACAACTATGAAGAAAGGGATCAGTGAGGCTGAGGTATTGACAATGGCGAGAACAGTAATAGAGGAGGATGAATCCGAAAATCGAAATGAAGAGGTGTTAGAGGTGTTAGAGGTGTTACAGGAACAAGGTATTACTGTGGGAGAGGGTAATGTTTTGGTGTCTGTCAGTGACAATGTAGGGATGCGAGTCTCACGGGATACAGAGGAGGAAGAAGCTTCCTCAACAAAGTTGAAGGGCAAAAGGAAGCAGGTTGATGAAACCTTTCATAGTCAAGAAGCTGAGTCCCTTAACCTTTACCTCTCCCCCCACTGTCACCACTCTACATGGAATGACGCCTTCAAAAATCAATACAAAAGTAAGCTTTCTTTTTCGGTGTAATCCTATCAAATTCATACTCTACCTATAGTCCAACTCAACTATCCTTCCACAACAACCTACAAGCCTATCCTGGACATGCGATGCTGTGATGTATGTTCCCCCGAACTCTTTCCAGTTGAAGACATCGTTCTTGAGCAACGGTCTGGCCTTGCTTGTGGTCACAACAAAGAGCACCCAAAATCTCTTGCCAACATGCTTCGCTCCGGACTTATGGATTGGCGAGAGGATAAACTTGTTGAGGTTGTTTATTCCTCTCAGATATCTATCATTTCAGGCGACACACTGCTAACTGACACGAACATTGACCAAATTATTGCCTCAGGTGTTCGAATCAAGTCAGCAAGTGAGCTGCAGCGATACACCTGGTGGCTGTTGTGTTTCGACAATTCTGGCAACATCACTGAGGTTGGTCGCTTACTTCTTGGTCAACTCATTCAAATTTATTTTGAACATGATTTGCGGGCTGAATTGGGTGAGCTACCACCAGAAACACCACCCTTGGACATCCCTGTGGCAGAGTCTAGCCAGCAAACTCGTGGTCCTGGGCGAGGGTGAGCAGGAAGAAGAGCACAAAGTTCAGACCGAGGACAAAGGGGTAGTAGAGGCCGTCGAGGTAGCAGACAAGCACAGGTTTAATACATGGGTATATAAAAATGGTTAGCAAAGAGTGGGATTGAAATTTCGATGGTAGGATTGCAAGAGAAAAAGTGGAAGTTACAATGAAAAAGTGTTTACTGCATCTGTAATGAAGGCTACAAATTCGCTTGGATCCATTCCTTCTGGAAACTCTTCCACATCCATTGCCAGATCCATGAGGTCAATCTCAACATCCTCACCATAATCCAATCCAGGAGCTGAATCCTCGTCATTCTCAATTTCTTCTTCGAGACCAGGCTGGGCAACCTGGTCAGTAGGAATTGGCGGTTGTGATGCTCGATACTGAGCCTTCTGGGTGTCCTTGGAAAAATTGCGGTACACCTTCGAAGTAGTCGCATATAGTGTTCGAAAGTCCGGTTAGGTCTGGTTATTGGGTGCCCACGGGCTCTAACCGAGACCGAGACCGGTTAGCCTTTGTCCCGAAACCTAAAATAACCTAACTGGACTGCAACTAACTGGTTATGGTCGGTTATTTGCAGTTACTAACTGGTTAGGACCGAAAAATAAAGAATCGGTTATAACAAGGCAAATATGCTCATATGTATCTTGATAGATATTATTTCTGCATATTCTAGCTTTAAAACGAGCCCAAGAACGCTAAAATCGGTGAAGAATTGACATATTTATGCAATTATCCTTGAAAGTCTACACATTTGAGTGATATTTTAGAGATTTGACTGTAACTTAGTCAAATTTTAAGCGTTTTCGACGTTCTGAAGTGCGTTTTGAAGGTGTATAATAGGGCTGGTTATAACCAATTATAACCGGTTATTTAACGGTTAGTTAACCGCAAAATAACCGGTTATTCCATTTTCGAAATCAACTAACCCTAACTGCTGTTAGGTTAGTGTTGCGGTTAGGTCCGGTTATTTTCCGGTTATTTTCCGGTTAACTAACCTAACTTTCAAACACTAGTCGCATAGGCAGCACCTGCAGCCATGAGGTCACGGGCTGGGATTGTCATTTTGTTGTTTTGGCGTTCTGGAGTATACATTTGAATTGTATGTTCCTCAAGATAGGCTCGAATTGTGGCAATGTCAGTGTCAATTGCTGGACTTGTATGTGACTTGCCATTGTACGGAGTCTTGAAGTTCATTTGCACTTGACGGATGACATCACGCAAGGCAAATATTGAGACGGACACCATAGAGAGCCACTCCCAGCTACGGTTGGAGCCTTTAGCATTATAAATGATCTTTGGGAGATTGAATACATGAGTTGCTCGAAAAGAAGGCAAACATAAAGAGAGTCGAACCTTGAGCCAAAAGTTTTGATGTTCCTGGAGTAAATCCAATTCCTTGAAGCTGTTTGGCCGACCCAATAGATTAGCAAGCCAGTTCATAAGATATGCATGTCTTAATGAATGAATGTTGATCAATTTCAAAAAGCCATGTGAGCATAACAGTGTACCGTAAATGAGGATCCATAATTTTGAGGTCCATAATGGTGCGGAACATTGCATCAGAATATTTTGGCATTTTCCCTGAGCCTCAGAACATTACCATCCAGTGTGCCAACACATTGACCACTGCACCAATATCACCCCGTTTGATAGAAGCAGTGAGAACGGCAAGGATCAGGGCATCATGGTTGAATAGAATAATGTTCTCATGAGGAATGTCACAATCTGTCAATCTTTGAAGTTTCGAAACCCTGCGTGCTGAGCATAGCTGCTCAAAGACTTGCCTCACAACATCTTTGATGGTGCTGTAGCTGCTCACTGATGAGACCCATTGGTTCAAATCCTTTCTGAGGCAAAACAGCCGAAATCCATCAAGAATGTTGGCAGGAAGTGCAAGTCGAAGTACAAGTTGCATGATTGGGCGGAACGGAGGAAGTTGTTTGGCATTCCAACCTGCTGATATCGCCTTTCGTCCAAGTAATGTGTTGATCCTCCACAGCGACCATGGGGCTTTGCTATTTGCAACACCCCAGTGCTCATTGGCCGTACAACGACTGCCAGCAATTTTGCCATGGAACAGCCCTACCTGTGTTTTTGTAAGCTTGCTCGGGTTGTCCACAAGTGATCTATCATCCCGATAAGCACCACAGACCTCGAAAAGAAATCAGATGCAGAAAATGTTAATGAGATGAGACATAACCCAGATGGCGCACCATATCAGAGAGGGCATTCATTAACTGATCCCCTGCAAGAATAAATGGGCCATGCTTCTCAATTTCCTCTGCAGTAAGCCCAAGCGTCCAAAAGAAGATATGGTCCATGACTTCGATTGTCCCATCAATGGTAGACTCATCAATGAGGGCAGCAGGGAGAGGATATTGTTCAGTTTTGTGGACAGGAATTAATAACACCGACAGCGGCTCGCGATTGATGTCCTTGAAACGTTGATGGAGCTGTGGGAATGCCGTGAAGAGGATCTCTTCGATTTGCCATAACATGGAGGCCTCAAGTTCAGTAACTTGTTGAAGTGATGGAAGGAGATCAACATGGGGCTGAATGTCAAATGTGATGCGACGTGTGCTTTGTGGTTGTAGGGAAGAGAGTGGAATTGAGCCAAAAGGGACATTGTAAAGTGGGATTAATGTCACTGTCATCCCATTATCAAAATGATCCTTTGAGGCCTGACGTTGCTCGTTTACTCGAAACACGATGTTGAGATTGTCCCAAACAACAAGGCAAGCTTGTTCACACACGAGCTTCTTCATAAATTCCCGCTTCTCCTCACCCAGGTCCTTAATTTTGCCCATGGCCGACGAGTATGAAAGAGAGAATCCAGCATGGTTGAGAATGGAGAACAGAGAACGGGATGCGCCACAGGCCAGTAGGTATATGCAGGTAATCAGTTGGAATTTGCTTGCTTTCTCGTTCCTTGTTTGTGCGATAATACATATAAGGGTTGAGATAATCTGATGAACATCAGTTCATAGGGGAAATTGGGACAGGAAAGTGAGACACACCACGTCTTTTTTCTTCCGACCCACTTGGGATATGTCCGACTGAGAATTGTCCGGCTCACCACACAAAATGGAGAGGAAGGTGAATAAAGTGGGAGCGACACTTTGCGCATCCTTGAGCAGTGTCTCAAGCAAGAACTCCTGGAGGATGGAAGATAGTTCCTTCCCCCTATCAGGCTGAAGAACCCTCCCAAGTAAAAATCCCTCGTGTCGAAGCTTGTCCTGGAAATGGGTTGACATCCATTCATCCACCACAACCTTTTGACGGATGTGCATGGCATCTAACAACTCTTTTCCATGTGCTATGAGCATTTGAGATACTTGAGAGGAAAGACGACAATCCTTTGTGCCAAAAAGTTCAGAAAGGTATCCAAACAGGGATGTGTACCCTGCAGCAATCCTCACCCTTTCCATCTCCTCCAAACGACTGGTTTCCAGCTTCTGCTTCTCCTCTGCAGCCCGCTGCTCCTGCAGACTCTTTTCCTTCGCAACTTCCTTGTCCTTCTCCAGCCACAGCTTGCGTGATTCATCTCGAATTTGAGGAGTGATTGGCTGAAGTACACAGCAGGTTTTCTTTGTTGGGGGACCCGAATGATTGACGAAAGTGGGCGTTGGCGTCGCGTTTTCATTGGTTTGTGTGCGCTTTTTGGGTGTAATGAACATCAGGAATATATTTGGGAGTGATAGTGTGCGGAAAGGGGGTTAAATGGCTAGGTACACAAAGGCAATGTGAGTCGTGTCGAGATCACGCGTCTCGATCGCATCCAAAACGGGTATCGGCTGGGTTTAAAATCCCCATGTACTTCATCACGGTTATGTTGGACCAGCTGCTATTGGAGGTAATTCTATACACATTTTTTCTTTTCTCCCGTTTTACCTCCAATAGCGGCTGGTAACGAGCCTATGTCAACAACATACTTTTTTAAATGAAAAAGCAGACAACTTTTCTAATGAAAAAGCGGACACTACAAAAAGTGGATCCTACAAACTTTTCTAATGAAAAAGCGCACACTACAAACTTTTGTAGTCTCAAAAAGCAGACTTAACAAACTTTTGTAGTCTGAAAAAGCGGATACTACAAACTTTTCTAATGAAAAAGCGCACACTACAAACTTTTGTAGTCTCAAAAAGCAGACAATACAAACTTTTTTAATGAAAAAGCGGACACTACAAACTTTTGTAATGACAAAAAGCGGACACTACAAACTTTGTAGTCTAAGTCCAAGCTTTTGTAGTCTGGGTCTGACTTTTATAGTCTATCAGTAAACTTGGTAGTCTATAAACTTTTGTAGTCCTTTGTATGTATCAGTAAACTTTGTAGTCTAAGTTTGACTTTTGTAGTCTTTTATAGTGTATCAGTAAACTATGTAGTCTATATCTGTAGGGTAGGGCCTGCACCTTCCTTTTTTGGTCATTTTTCCTGCAATACAATAATTGTAGCCCTTTCTTTTAGCTTTCTATACAGTCATTCACCCCTTAATGATACACCACCCCCATTTGATACACTTTTGACTAGCAAATATCTCGCTCAATACTAGACCGATTTTGACAAAACAAGTTGTAACAGGTAGTACAAACTCATATCTACCACCGTACATAATTTGGATGCAATTGAGCCAGAATTGGCAAAGCTGTGGAGCATACAAAATGGACTGTTTTTCGGAAATAGCCAAATACAGTCACACCCCTCAATGATACACCTATAATCTTAGTTTTTCTCTGTGAAATGTGGGTCAAACATTCTGAAATTTGGTATGGTCATAGAAGGGCATTTATCTGAGATTTTCATGTAGTTTTTGTAGGGAAAGGATGTGCTCAAATCTGTTGAAACTAATTTCTCATTTTGGGTGTATCATTAGCAGGTGGATGACTGTATATACTGAAATCATGTTATTTGGTTTTGTTTTCATGGAGAAAAACACAAAAAACAAAAAAAAAATGCGACACTTTTGAAATTCCTTTACCTCATATCTCCACAACAGGAGCACTTCAGAACATAATTCAAACAGATTCAGGAAGCTACAGTGTAGGGCTACAACTTTCGTTTTTTTGACCATTTTTGGTAATTGGTCATGTGACCAACATCCCAACATCCCATTACATGGACCCTGATAGGTAAAATCATTCTCATCTTGCTTTTCTTCACTTTTAGTCAAACCAGGTCATATTTCCCTTTTGGGATGGACCCTGAAGGCAGTGCCTGATGTTCTGTACACCATTCATATGTTTTTCCAATTCTTCCGCTATATTCTGGCTATTTTTGGATATATTACCATATTTGGAAATGTGCCCTGGACCCTGGAAACAACCCCAATGTCATCACCAACAGTGAGCACCATCCCCCATTTTTTTCTGATTTTTTGGCTATTTTCCGGCTATTATTGGCTATATTACCATATTTGGCAATGCGCCCTGGACCCTGAAAACAGTCCCTGACGTCGTCAGTAACAGTGAGCACCATCCCCCATTTTTTTCTGATTTTCCGAGGTCTTATCAGTGCCCCCCTAATTCCTGCAGGAATCCGGTCATTCCTGCGGATTCCGGTGGATTCCGGAGGAATGAAATTTGGCAGGGAGGCCTGCTATTTTTGTCATTCCGGTGCCTTACCATTCCGGCGGAATTTGGGCATTCCGGAATTGACACCGGAATGTTCCGCAGGACTGACAGGAACGGAATGGAACGGAATCCGGTTCTTTGTTTGTTTGTTTTACTTCTGTTACCAAACAACGGCAACGTTACCAAACAAATGCAATACCCTTTCCTTTCCACCCACCACCAACCACATTGACAACAGCGACAACGACGACAACGCCACACGACCAACAACGGCCACGACCACCCCAGCAACAAACGGCGACGACCACGGCCAGCGACGTGGCAACGAAACGGACAACGACAACGACAACGACGTGGCGCCAGCACCATCCACGAGCGCCGACCACCATCCACGAGCACCTCCATCAACCAACGGCGACCAGCGCCCACCACTATCCACGAGCGCCCACCACGCGAACGCCGCGATGCCACG